AACCTCCCCAGACGCAGCTGCCCGACCACACTATCACAAAACCTACACTTCTAATAGCAACAGCTGACTTGTGTCAGTCCAATGTCCTAAGCCCTAGGCTGAGCCTTTTCAGGCATTATTTGACTTTGATCCTTAGATGTGGTGAAGGATATATCAAAAGCTTTAATTTTTAGATGAGCTAACCAAGTCCAGAAAAGTTCAGTAATTTGTCCAAGGTCACCAGCTACAAATGGATGAATATGATTGAACTGAGGTTTCCCTGATTGCAAGTCCTGTGTTCTTAAACACTACTTGGTCACAGGATCTGAACAAGGAAGAAGCCAGGGCTAAATTTCCTCTTGCTAAAAAAAGTCATGAAGCTATGAAATTACCTTTCTGAATGAAGCCTAGATAGCACACAAATAAAACAACAAAAGATAAGAATCTGAATATATTAGCAAAAGAGAATCTTAAAACAATTAAAATGTTTTTAAATCACCCAAATTTAATATTAGAAAGTCTATTGATGTAATTGAATACATTAACAGATTAGAGAAGAAAAACCATATTCATCTTAACAGGTACAGAAAAATTCTGTAAAATATTGAATTGCATTCAATAAAATTCTACATCCATTTCTGATTTCAAAAGAGAAACAAAACCTTTTCACAACCTGGAATACGAGGAAGTATGAAGCATCTCTACTCAATAGTAAAATATTAGAAGTATTCTCTTTAAAATAAGAACAAATCAAGGATTCTTATGTCTACTTCTATACTTTGTAAATATTTCTATACACTTCTGTATACATTAATACTTCTGCACAGTTCAATTCTACATTGCTCTGGCTAGGATGCTGAGGAAAACGTGAATGACAAAACTGTCACTGCAGACACGTGGCAAGGACAGGGAAACCGTTTACCCACGTGGCAAGAAAGGAAGTTGGATTATATCATATACTGAAGTTAATTCCAGATGAAATAAGTACCTAAATATCAAAGAAAAAACTTTAATACTCGGAAGAGAAAAATAAGAGAAATTAAGATTTCAATTAATATTAAATTAAATCTTGGCTATTCATAGGCTTCTCTCTTAGGCCAATGGTTCTAAAAAATTAGTGTGCATCTGAACCACCGACAGGGCCTGTGAGAGCACATCTTGCTGGGACCCAGCCCCAGAGCTTTTGATCCAGTAGGTCTGTAGTAGAACCTGAGAATCTAGTTTGTTTTGACCTCAGAATAGGGAAGGATTTCATAAACAAGTCACTAAAAACAGAAAATAATAACCTTAAAGGAAAAGATTATTAATTTGTTTCATTAAAATAGAGAATTTCTATTTATCAAAAAAAACTAACAAAAAGGAAATACAAATTTCAAACTGCTTTTTGAAGCTATGCACAATATATAAATGAAAAGGAATTTGGCACAGAAATTCTACAAGTCTTTAAGGAAAAGGAAAACAAACTAATTTTTTAAATGGACAAAAGATTAAAAAGAGGTATTTCTTAGAAGAAAAACATGAGTAATCAGTGAAATAAACATTTAAACTACAAGAACACATCATTTTATACCCACAACCTTGGCAATAATTAAAATGCTTGTAGAGGATGCATGTTGGCAAGGATGAGCCATATGGGAACTCTTTTATGCTGCTAGCTAGAACACACTGGAGTCAACCAGTCTGGAAAACAATTTGGCATTATTTTTTTAGGCTGAATATATAATTTCACTCCTAAGTAAATGCTCAAAGAAAGAAACCTTTGCATTTGAGGACCAGGAGATGTTCAATGAACCATTGTTTGTAATAGAAAACAACTGAAAATATTTCAAATGTCTAACAGCAGGAGAACAGATAAGCAAATCCACGGTATATTTATAAAGTGGAATACAAAAGTGAGTGAACTACAGCCAGAGGAATCAATACAGTTGAATCATAGAATGACAAGTTGCAGTAGAATACATATATTATGAGACTGGTTTTTAAAAAGTAGGAAGACAAAACTAAACACCTTACTGTCTGGGGATTCACAGTGTGTGGCAAAATTACAAAGAAAAACAGTAAATGAGAAAAAAAAAACTTCCAGAGAATTAGGGGTTGGTACAGGTAAGAGAAATGAGGGCTCAAGGTCAGGGGAGTAGGGGTTCTGTGTTTCTAAAGTAGGTTGGACCGTGGAATCATGGGAGTTAATTTTATATGACTCATAATTTCTATATAGATACAATAGTTCGTTACTTTTTTAAATGCCCCAGAGACTACAGCTCACAAGTAGAAAAGAATTAATTCTACACGTGAAATACTGTACAATCCATTGACAAACATGAGGAAGAGTGAAGACCATTCAGCATTTTTTGTTCCATTATTTTGTTGCTTGCCGTCCTTCTCCCTTCCTTCCTTTATTGACTGAAACAACCAAGACACCGGCTACATTTGACAGGAAAACCCTGATTTTACACACTGTAGCTAAACCAAACCCCAGCAGCTCTGAGGTGAGAGGGCCTGATCTTGACAATCTCTCCCAAGCTCTTCCTGCTCGGCGGCACCTTTGTTTGAGCTGGGCCTCGGGGGAGCGCAGCCTGACCTCACAAACCCCGAGGAGCGGTCTGCATGCAATCCGCTTCGCCACGCCGCGGTGGCTGGGTGAGCCCGCAGCAAGTGCCCCCGCGGCTGGGTGAGCCCGCAGCAAGTGCCCCGCGGCAGCGGCCCCCAGAGGGCGGGGCTCCTTCCCCACCCGCGAGGGGAAGCTCCAGAGCCTCCACTTAGAGAATTCATCTTGATTCTGAAGGAGAAACTGCTTCCCCTCTTCATTTTTAATAGAAGAAATCTGACAGAAGCACATCTCTGTCAAAGCATATTTTTGTGGATTGTGAATTTTTGCAACTAAGAATATGAAAGTAGGAATCTTTGTAAATCTTAATAAGGAGCTCAGCTCCTATTAAAAGTAAAGAAAGCAAGCTTAGAATTGGTTTCTTTCTACTGGGAATGGTAATGTTCTTTCAATTAATTTCTTCCTGAGCACACCTGGGTGAACTGTTCTGTCACTTCTACCCAGAAGCAATGCAAATAAAACAACAGCTCTTATGCAACCAAAGAATAAAGCTGGAATGTAGTCATCTTTCCCAGAATAGGAAACCGTACACCTGGTTTCTGAACTAACAACCAGAAGGCACCAGGCATGACATGGGTAATTCACAACCTGTGATAAAGGGACACCGTTTGCATATTTAGTGTTTAAAATGAAGTATATATGATTTTTATGTAACATATGTAATGATATATGCAGTATAGAAAGCTTTTCTTAGCTTTCAAAGCTTTTTATTATTATTATTTTATAAGAAATGCATGTCTGTTTTGAAGATCTGGAAAATAAAAAGAATAATCAACTGGAACTCAGCCACTGTTAACATTCTGATGCAAATCTGTCCAGATGTTCAAAGAATGCCTTGGCATATAACTAACTCAGTAAAGCATGCTATCTTGTCCACTTTAGCTACTGTGCTCAGAACCACAGACCCCTCTCACAGGGAAGCTACATAGGTTTTGCTGGTCTCTTTTCTGTTCTTCAGAGATATGGCCCTCCACTGAGGATGCTCAAACACAGGCTGAGTGATCGTGGGCACATCATGGAAACAGTGACACCTGGGCCGAGTCCCAGCCCTGACACTAGCTGTGTAGCCTTAGTGCCGTCAGCATCAGTAAAGGCTGTCTCCCTTAGAGAGCTGCATGAGGTAAGGACAATGTTTCACGCAGGGCCCAGTCCCAGTGACCTGCACTCCAAGGCAGCGCAGAGGAAGTGAGGTAAAGTGAGGGCATCACTGCTGGAAGCAGCACAGAAAGCCAAGAAAGGTCCTGTGGAGATGCCAGAAAGTCAAGGGGGTGACCCGAGCAACAGGCAGCATCTCAGAACCTCCTGCTCCCGCCATCCTGCTTTCTAAGGAAGGAGGGGTCTGCCAGCTGGCGGAGGAGAAGGAAGCTGCCTCCTAGATGAAACCCTGAGGGGAAATCAGCCTTGGGGACAGGAGATCTGAACTAGGACCAGGCCATCTGGTCTGACGTTCCTTGTTCCTTGTTCCTCCTCAATCAGAAAGGTCATGTTTGATACAAGGTTTTCTCTGTGTTCCCTCCGTCCGGCAGCTTTCCATTTCCCAATCCCTCCCTCCCTACCTCCATGGCAATGTTCATGTTGTCCATAGACATACTTCCTTTTATTTAATTAAAATTCAAAAAGTCTTTCTTTAAGAAGACAAATGACAAATGTCTGGTGAGAGGTCCTTTTTTCAAACAGGTCATAAAATCATATATTTTAAGATATGCTTGGAGGCTCTGTGGGTTCACCCCAGTTTCTTACTGCTCCTATATCCACAGAAAAGTGAAGTTCACAATGACGGCCCCATCAGATAAATGGATATATACTGTACTAACTAAAAGAAGGGGAAAGGAATTGACAGAGTTCACAAGGATTTTTCAAGAAAGTAGTGAATACCAAAAAGACTTAAAATTAACTTTTACTTTCGTGACTTAGAACAGCCAAATCTTTATCATACTCCATTAACTTATGTTTAAATACAGTGCTCTCAAGAGTGTGTTTTTACTAAGTGAAGAGAAGACATTGGAAACAAAATAATCACTGAGCCTTTATAAGTGTGACAAAAATAAAAATTCATCTCTTCATTCATAAAGTTAAACCTAGAAAATAGAAGTGACAGAGAAGGTGGGAAAGAAATCTACAGCTCTAGTCTATACTTCTTTATTTTACACATGTCTAAACCATGGCAGTCTAAATGTTTTGAGATGGCAATTTCCCTACATACCTATGTCTATATTTAAAACCTCACCTGAAGACAGTGAATTCTGCAGTTCTGGTGCCCCCTCAGGGGAAAATCCTTACATGGAAGAAAATGGAACAAGGACCAGAAAGAATGAGAGCACGATTTTGCAGAAAGTGAGACTGTATAGAAAATATTGACAGTTTATGAATAGTTTTACTTCTTTATCTTGTTTTTAAAGTGCACTGAGACACTGACCTGTAAGATGTAGAGTATGACAACCGTCAGGCCAATCCAGCTGTGCAGGCTGTACATATTGGGGATACTCCTGGCATTGTGGAAATCAAAAACGGCCACCAGAGAAATAACTGCAAGAATGGCAGCAACGGCGTTTAACCCAGCGTGGATGCATTTCATCAGGAGCTTGCTGCATTTCCAGGTCCACGGCAGTCTGTACACGATGATGGCTAGAAAGAGATGAAAGTGGACAGAATGTCCTATTGTTTTTTTAAAGAGACACAAGATGAACAGTTTGATACACTGAACACTTCCTTCAGTGAAACCCCTCTCTTGGCTTCTGCATCCGCTCTGTTCCCTGCCTCTCTTCAAATGAAGCAAACTTTTATTCACATACTATTCCATTCAGCTAGAATACTCTCATATTTTAACCACCAACCTCATGACTTCAGGTCTTGGTCTGACTTACTTTGTCCCTTATGCCATGTGAGGATGTGAGATTAAATGAAAACAAACACTTTGGAAAGCTAACAGTGTCTACTTAAGCTAAATTTACGCATATCTTATGATCCCGCAGTTCTAACCTAGGTATATTCCCCAAAGAAATATGCACATATGTTCATCAAAAGACATGTATTGGAATATTATTAGCAGCGATATTGGTAGTGGTCAAACTCCCCAAATGCCCATCATTAATAGCATGAATAAATAAATTGTGATATATTCACACCATGGAATAATATGCAGTCAAGAGAATGAATGACCTATTGATGACGGGGTTCTTGTTCATGGAGTCAAAGAATGAACACGGCAAACACTCAAAGTAGGAGAGCAAGTGAGAGGCTTTTATTTAGAGATACAGTGAGAAGATAGAGCTCCTGGCTCACACCAGGAGGGGACAAGAGAGTCCCTGGTGGTGCATTGTCTAGGGGATTTACAGGCAGTTGAGAGACAAAGGGCTACGGATGCAGACCTGCCAGATGGTCCCCAAATGCTTATCTTTGAAGAGACACTAAGTTTCTTATCAGTCTTCTGGATTATTTTTCAGAGCACAAGAAATTTACTGGTTTGATTCTTTCCCAGAATAGCTGCTTCTTGGTTTGGGAGCATATCAATCAGGACTGCCTGTCCTGCTCCCAAGGTGGGCTGGGTTTATTGTCTGTCATGTTAAGAAACCTATTTTTTTGGCTTCTTGGGTTTTAAAATGCAATCTTATCTTCAAGATGGAATCCTTCCTGTTTTTACTATGTTGTTTGTGACTGGGCTCGCTTGCCATTATTACTTGGCTAGGTTGCAAAGCATTTGATTAGGGCTGGAGGAAGAAAAGCAGCATCTAGGTAAAGTTAAAGAAGATAAGCTGGGCCTTTTAGGAGGCTAAAGTAAATTTTACAATAGCCTCATTTAATTGACACAATGAAGACATGGGCTATGCTGAGGTATTTTCTTATCTGGGGGATATTCAAACATTTCAGGCCAAGTTACTTCTGGCTTTCTAGTTTTAAGTAATCTCACAGAAAAATGCTTATATTACTTTAGAGAATTAATGTGACTCTAACTCTGCCTAATTGTTTAACATGGACTTTTGGTAGGGGTCTTTTTCCAGAGGCCCTCACCCTACTCTGTCTAAACCCACAGTCCCTGTCTTACTATATCTAGAACTTCACTCAATGATATGAATCAACCAATAATATCAATGCCAAGAAATCAGGCATAAACAAGTATATACTCTATGATTCAATTTATATGAAGTATAAAAACAGGCAAAACTCATCTCTGAAATAAGAAAAGTCAGGATATTGGCTGCCCTTGTGGAAAAGGGGTTCAGCAACTGGAAAGGAATGCACATGGATCCTAGACTCCTGCTAATACTCTGGTTTCTCAATCTGGATGCTGGTTATATAGCTGTTCACTGAGGGAACATTCATCAAGCTGTACATTTATATGGAGACTTTTCTGCATAAGTAAAGTCTGCATAAGTAGATTAAACCAACAAAAATATTTTTGAAAAGCTTTTTTTTTAAATGTACCCTGGTTTAAGCAAAAGGTTATATGGCTACCTTGATCAGCATGCAATTAATTTTTGTTTTGAAGATAGTATCCTGCTCGTACCCACCCTCATTCTTACTCCTCCAGGCCATGTCAGGAAAAATTTAGATATCTAGAAATGTATGGCAAATTGAAAAAGTTTAAAGAATACTTCCTTGGAAGATGGAGTCCATTATATCAGCAGTGTATCATGTATATTTCTTAATTCCAACAAGAAAAAGAAAAAAAAGCCTCTTTCCACCAACGATATTTATAATTTGAATATATAAAACTTCATAGGATGTAAGGTAGTATCTATCTAATTTTCAGTCAGAAACACATCTAACCTACAAAGACAGATGTGAATCCAGCCTCTTCCAAGCTCTCAGCCTGAGATGTCAGTCAAGTCTTGCTGCTCTTTGGTTCCCTTCCTACATTTGACAGCCCTCACCATTAGGAGAGTATTCCTTTTACCTAGTCCAAACTCTGAAGGATTGCTACTTACTAATATATGGGTATCTTATGAATGTCAATTGATTTTACTTCCTTGAGGACATGCATAATCATTTCTATATTCAATGAATCTTTTCAAACTATTTAATGCAATACCTTAACAGACATACTTTTAAAATCTAGTTCAAGGCCCCTATGCACCCCTACCTTATGCTCTCTGAGGGCAGGGATGTGCCTTGCTGTTTCTCCCTGTACCCCCAGAGCCTAGAAAGACTTGGTCTCAAAGCATGTAGCTTACTAGTTTTATTTGTCTATGTGTGACCCTTAAGTATGTTTTAAATAAATGCAAAGTACTTCCTGCAGACTGATCAAAGTCTATAAATCAAGTTAATGTCAATTCAAATGCTATGGTTCCCCCTCCTCATGTTTCTCCTTTGATGATTCAACAACATATTCTCTCTGATTCTCTAGTTTTCAAGGAAAGCAAGCAACCCTTTATCACTTTATAACCTTTTAACCACACAATGGAGCTTTTTGTAATTTGTATGATCAGGCAGTAGTAAAATAAAAAATGTGCAGTGTGAGTCTGTGGAGAGATCTGCCTCTTTCTTCTGCCGCTCCTTGTCCTCTGCATATGGGGACTAGTTTTTGAACTAACAGAAACATAGGCAGAGGTATAAGATCTCTCCAAGAAGAACTGATCTGAATAATATCATATGGAAACCAAAGGCAAAAGCCCTTTAGGAAGTAGAGATGGGTCAACTACACCAAAGGCTTCCAAATGTTTGACTAAGATTGTCCATTACCTGGCCTCAATTTACATTTTCCAGAAGATTTCCCTCTAAAATTTTGGCCACACCCTCTTTACTCTCATGGATATACCATGCTCATGCCTCTTCCTGCTATTACTTATTTCTTATTTCTTCATGGAATGATGCTGATCCATGTCTCCACAGGAATTACACAATTTTCAGATAAGCAAAAGCTGAGAGAATTTACCTCCCACAAACCACTTCTACAGTGCATTTTGGAGGGACTCCTATAGATGGAAGTATTCCTAAGGCTAAATAGATGTCACTCAAGGGATAGATAAAGAGTACAGAATATGATTCATAATGCACAAAGAATGGAGGAGAAGAAAAAGGAGGGGAAAAAAAAGAACCTTTAGGTTGTGTTGTAATAGCACATGTAATAGCACATGAGTTAAATTAGACTATTAGATAGTAAGGGAATTACCCTTGAACCTTTGGTAACCACGAACTAAAGCCTGCAATGGCAATAAGTACATACCTATCGATAATCACCCTAAATGTAAATGGTCTGAATGCACCCATCAAAAGACATAGAGTCACTGAATGGATAAAAAAACACAACCCATCTATATGCTGCCTACAAGAGACTCACCTCAAACCCAAAGACATACACCAAATGAAAGTAAAGGGATGGAAAAAGATATTTCATGTAACTAATAGTGAGAAAAAAACAAGGGGTTGCAGTACTTGTACCAGACAAAATAGACTTCAAAACAAAGAAAGTAACAAGAGACAAAGAAGGACATTACATAATGATAAAAGGGTCAGTCCAACAAAAGGATATAACTATTATAAATATATATGCACCTAACACAGGAGCACCTACATATGTGAAACAAATACTAACAGAATTAAAGGGGGAAAGAGAATGCAATGCATTCATTTTAGGAGACTTCAACACACCAATAACTCCAAAGGACTCATCAACCAGACAGAAAATAAGTAAAGACACAGAGACACTGAACAACATATTAGAACAGATGGACCTAACGGACATCTACGGAACACTCCATCCAAAAGCAACAGGATACACATTCTTCTCAAGTGCACATGGAATATTTTCAAGAATGATCATATACTAGGCCACAAAAAGAACCTCAGTAAATTCAAAAAGATTGAAATTGTACCAAGCAGCTTCTCAGATCACAAAGGTATGAAACTAGAAATAAATCACACAAAGAAAATGAAAAAGCCGGGGATTAAAGATGGTGGCATGAGAGGTGAGAACAGAGGCTTCCTTCTAAAACCACATACAATATGAAAATATAATTAATATAACAAATCCTGAGAGAGCAACAGGAAAGAGGACGGCGCCAGACTGCATACACCTGGAGAAAAGAGCAGACCTAATGGAACAGGGTAACGTACTAAAGCTATAGCTCGGCGGGACCCAGACTGTTTCCCCACCACAGCTCACCAGCAGGAGGAAGAGAAACTGAGCAGGGAGGGAGTGGAGGCCTGGGAGTACTGAATACCTAACTCCAGAGATCTGCTCTGGGAGCACAAACCTACATTTCATGGTGTTTTCATGATACTCTCATGATTATGGGGTTGGAAAGCTAATACAGGCAGAATTCCTGGGAAACTGAGATTCCAGCTGCTGTGGAAAGCAGGGATCCATATCCAGCTGCTCTGGGACAAAAGCTTATACCCGTGTGCTGGGGCCACTGGTTCAGGCAGTGGAGACAGGCATAGTGGCCGGGCAGCACGAAACAGCTCTTTCCTCCCCCCAGGCACCAATACTGCTCCCCTGCAACCCCTGACATTGCTTCAGGGCCTGAGCAGCTCCAGGGAGTAGAGCTTCTGGGCACTAGAGGGCGCCATATACAAATATGAAATGCCAAAGGAACCTGGTACAGAGTAAAATTAATACAACACCTGAGAAAGATGGCATGGACCTCATGACTCTTCCTGAAAGGGTGTTCAAAATAAAAATCATT